ACAGGCCTGAACCTGGGGTACAGACATCCCCCCAAAATGGCCCAGTCCTGGGAAGGCCACCTGGCCCCCACCCACAGTCCTTCCCTGAGACTCCTTAGAAATCTGTCTCAAAAAGTTTTCTTGGAAGCTCTTCCTTCTCCCTCCCAATTCCAGCCTCCGGCCTTCAGAGATGCAGTCTGTGCGGCACATTTGCACCTGCACGTGAACTCCCTTGGGGAGCAGGGAAGACCCTCCCTCCCCCTCTCCCTCCAGGACCCCTGCCTCACACCTTCCGCCAGGTATGGACAAATGCCTCTCCAGAAAGGCGTCCCAAGGGGGCTGTTCTGAACACCATGCTCCTCTTCATGAGGGTCCTCTGTGCGCCACACCCTTGCTACCCAGAGACGGTCCCTGAGCCCACAGCATCGACATCCTGCCCAGGGACTGTTAGAATCGGAGACTCTGGACCTCAACAAGACCTCTGGGTGAAGAGGCTGCGCTTTAACCAGTCGTTTCTTGTGCTCCTTAACGCCTGGGTAGTGCTGCTCTGCCTGCATCATGTCATGTAATTCACATACACACACACACACACACACACACACACACACACACACACACACACACACACCGGGATGCAGTCACCTTCAGCCATGAGGTCACAGAGGGACAGACAGGCTAAAGGAGTAAGGGACCTGTCCGTAGCTAGCCAACAGCTGAAGCCAAGATCAAACCAAATCCACCTGATGCGGAAGCCTCGCCCATTCCCCGAGGCAGCCCATGGGACTCCACAGGCACCAGCCACCAGTGAGCACAGACCAGCACTCCTCACAGTCGCTGGATCCTGGCACCCAGAAAACCCCACCATCTGCCCCAGGGCCTGCTGGGGCATCAGTGGGTGCCAGGGCTAAGCCAACCAAGGCTGATCACTTGATGGGGAGTCCAGGCCGTCATGAGTCCCAGCAGGGAGGGTATGAAGCTGGCCGTGGAAAGGTAGTATGTGTGTGTGCTTGTGCGCATGCGCACGCATACATGTGAATGGACTTCATCGCAATTCTATTGCCAGGTGGGCCCGACTCTCCTCCAAGCTTTCCAATACTTTGTGTCCTGGGCTTGGAGCTAGGGGGAGGTTCCATCTGGATCTCGGTGCCAGCCAAGTCCCTGGGGATCCAGTGTGTTGGTTTCCCCAGCATGTCCACGTCCATCACAGGTGGGTCACCTTCCTGCTCTGTGGACTCTGTGGTGCAGGATAGTTTCTGCCACCTCGGACACTAAACCAGTTGGCATCTCTACGTCTGAGAAATGAATGCCCCTTGCTTCTCCCCGTCACTTAGTCATGGCAGCTTGGCAGTGGGGTCCTGCAAGGCAGGCCAGCCCCAGAGTCTGTCCATGTTTCCATCCACACGCCCCGGGCACCCCCGACCTCACTCTCCACCCAGGACCCACCGCCCACTCGCCAGCCCACCCTCAGCCCTGGCCTCGGTGCTTCAGGCCGCCTGGCAGGCAACCAGAGACCCGTCTTCCTCACCCGGCACTCCACTGTGTGTCAGATTCACTGGGGGCCAAACGTGAACTCATCGCACACCCCACCCGCAGCCTGGGGAATCGGGGCTGTGAACCAGTTCAGTCGCAGGAACAACACAGCGAAATCAGAACAGACCCGAGTTTGAAAACGGTGGGTGTGTCTGCATGATCATCGGAATGGGAAGGCATTGCAGGCTGAAGCCCGGGAGGAAAAGTGTGTGGGGGGGGGGTGCATCCTTCGAGCACAGTCCACTGCTGGGACTGGGGAGAGTGAAACGGGGCAATGTGGTCGGCCACCATCTTTGAGCCGGAACCATTGTTTCTGACTCTGTCCGTCAGGAGATTTGGTTGCTGTGCGACACGCGCTCACACAACCACCTTTGTTTTCTCCAAGGGAGTTTCAGTTCCTAGCAGGGTATGGACCTGTCATGATTCCCAGACCAGTGATGATTCAGGAGGCCCCCCTTTCACAGATTTCAGTCTGTTCTGATTTCAATTCGTCAGTCGTGACTGGCCCAGGAGGAAACACCCGGGCTGCTCTCGGGCAGCAGTGCCCGCCAGAATGGTGGGTGAGCAGCAATCAGGCCAGGTGTGGCTCTTGAGCATAGGAAATGTGGCTGGCGCGACTAAGGAACCGGATGACTTCGTTGCAATATTTCCTAGCGACGTTTAAACCTCACACTGAGCTAGAGCTGACTCAGTCTCCCCAGCTCCGAAATGGGGCTGGGGACAGACTCCAGTCGCTGTGAAGATAAAGGGAGACGAGGCATGGGAAGCCCTTGGCCTGTGTCAGACACATAGCAGAGTGGATCTTATCAGTGAGTCGTTTGCATGTACTCCTGAGTGCCCGAGAGAGTGGAATGAAACCACGACCTTGAAGCTGGACCATGGTCACCCCAGACATCCAGACTCAGCACCACACATGCAGCTGTGCACCCCATGGAGAGGATCCCCCAGCTCAGCAGCCAGGTCAGGAACTCCTTTGGGACACACACACCCCCACCCCCCCGCACTGAAATTCACCCAGACTGTGTTGCCAGCACCCCTTTCCTCTCCACCCAGGCTCTAGCATCTCAGAAAACCCTTCGCTACACAGGAAGGAGCACAGAAGCAGAGCTCTGGAAAATTCCTCGTGCACAGAGGGCAGGCCCGGGAAAGGCGACAGGACGGATCCGGTGAGCTCATCACGGCAGCCGGCTCACAGTTCCCACAG